CTCTGCAGCGCGGGGGTGAGTCAGGTGCACAGGGTCAAGAAGGTCCGCTTTCTCATCCGGAAATTCCGGCTCCACTGGTGGTCGTCCCATCGTCCGAGGACCACCCGGTCCCACCAGTCGGTGCTGCTCTCCAAACTCCAGATGGGCCGGTCTACGGTCGGGTGCTGATGCCACACAGTTGCCACGGCCTCCCTGGTGAGGGAGTCCAAGGCAATCTCTGCCTCCTGGTCCATGAACAGCATGGCACCGGCCTGCAGCAGGAGCCGCAGCCACCTGTACAGCCCCAACAGGGGCCCGACCAGGCACATGGCCACCCGTGGCTCCATAGCAGACAGAGCAGGGCAGAAAAAAAAACCACAGGCAAAAGCAGTTGGGGGCCAAAGGGTGGTGGGCAACCACAGGGCAACCACAGAGGGCAACCACAGACCCTGCGAAGGGTGTCAGTCCCTGGCAGAGGCCCCAAGGCACGGGAGCAAGAGACCAACGGCTGCCCGGCGGGGGCCACGTGTCTGAACGGCGCTCTGGCCCCGCCCCCAGAAAGGTCTGGTGGCCTTTGCCCTCTTCAAAATGGCTCCGGGCTTCTGCTTTTCTGGAAAAGCGCGCCGCCAATGTAGACGCACTTTTCCGGAAAAGCACTTCGTTACGACGATAACTCCGGGGCCAATGTAGACACTCTTTTTCCGGAAAAACTGAAAATGGAATAGTATTCCCTTTTAAGCATTTCTGGAAAATCATGCCAGGGTAGACGTAGCCATAATGTTTAAGGTGGACTATACTTATAAGAAAAATGGAGGGCCAGGAGGAAGAGATGCGGCTCAGAATGTACATTTACAATGGGAAGATGATTGGTTGTGGCATTTAGGTGCTACTATGGTGTAAATATTAAATAATAATAGAAATAAACTTTGCTAGATTGTCCCAAATTCCCAGTCCCTTGGCTTAGGATGGAGACTTCTTCTGTAACCTTTGGTGAGGCAGGATTTTACCCAAAAATATTCAAATACATAGATACATTCTAACACCTTTATTAGCATAGACTGAACCAGAGGAGTACAAAGAAACTCAAAATGTTAAACAAAAGTATTCAAGAGGTTTAATAAAGGAACTCTTACTCCATAAGTAACAAATAGTCCAATATTCCCCTCCATCCTCAACCTTTTCATTCCACACTAACACATCACCTTTCTTTAGGTGGCCAAGTTTTGCATGCAGTGCAAAATGGAAGCAGCTATACACGCTGTATTTTGGGCCTTTCATCCATCCCTAAGAGCTCCTGCTCTGGATATTGTTTAACAGTAGTGGCCCATGGTCCCTTCCTGATGCCCATGGTGTGCAGTCTCTTCTAGTGTGGCATTCTCACCTTCCAGTGCGATGAAATCCAGCAGTAGGAAAACTGGGGTGGGATTTCCTGCTCATTCTCTACCCACTCGGAGCTCTGGTGGGTAGAGAGGCGGATTCCTTCACAGTCATGCTGCTGACAAGTAGATTGGAGACTCCATAAACATTTTAAATTTAACTATGGATACATTTATGGCGCTCTAGAATAACCTAAAAATCTGCCACCTAGATGACTACTTTTAGGCAGGAAGATCTACAAGTTTTTGGCCTAGCTCTATGCTCCCAGAAGGGGCAGGGCCGTGGGTGAAAGAGGGACGGGTGTGCTGCCCTTCTCAAGGCAGCCATCAGAGCCACCCTGACTGTGCCATGTGGCTCTCCAGTGGTGATTTTAAGGGCTCAAGGTTCTGACCATTACTACTCTAGCAGCAGTGGCATGTTGGTGGCAAGGTGCCAGGGGCCCTTTTGAATTGCAAGGCCCCAAGGCAACTGCTCACATTTGCCCCCTCCTGTTGGCAAGCCTGCCTATCACATTACAAACACTTCCTGCTACAGTAAAACTCCAATAGTCCGGCATCCAATAGTCCAGCACTCCTGATAGTCCGGCATCAAAATGGCAAGAGCCTAGTGAGTGAACTTCAGCAAAAAATGAGTCACAAGGTAACAGCGGCAGCAGCTGAACTGAGCAAAAAGGGTAAAAAAGGCTTAAAAAACCTAAAATATTACAGTGTACTGTATACAGTATGTATAATAAAAAGGGTTAAGAACACTTTATATACCGTATATAATGTATATATATAAGCATCTTATAGTACCTCCTGATAGTCCGGCATATTTGATAATCCGGCACCAACTAGGTCCCATAGGTTCTGGATTATCGGAAGTCTACTGTACAACTGTTCAAACACTTTGAATCCAAACCAGTTTTTTTTATTAAATATACATTTTAGCTGAAAGTTTTTCAGTGTTTGACAAATGTACGGCAAACAATCAGGTCTCTCTTCAAACAGGGAAAGGCACAGAGTCTGACTGTCTCTATTTATTTCGCTCTTTCCTGCTTTTACAATCAGTCTCCTGTCACACACATGAAAAAAAAAACACCCTAAAACCAACAACCAACAAAACCCCATGCCTAAACCTGTTTTAATGCATATTCTTTTAAACTACTCATAACATATACAGAGAAAGAGATTTGTGGCTGGTGGATAGCCTTCGATCATCCAGGCTTCAGCACTTAATGGGTAGTTTTGACCACTAAAACACAGAAAATATGATGTCACTGGTTTGATGGCAGGAAATAAACAAACACCAAGCTTGGAAACTACACTTCATAGAGCTCAGCACTCAGATTGCACTATAGAAACTAAGATATTAACGCTCATTGCAAACTCTGAGATAAGCGCTACAATTGTAGGAAGTGGTGCTGAACATATGGAACAGGGCAGGTGAGTCATCTCTGTCACTACCAACAACTGAACATGGACCTCAAGAGCTGAAAGGATGAGCTTGTAAAGCTTGAGCTAACGGACTGTCAACTGCAGCAGATTTGTATGCTTTGTGAATCAAGCACAAAGCGGGTTGCATAACAGAGACTGAAGTGAACAATGGATTATGGATACATAGGCTCAGAGCCTGTAGGCCCAATTTTGTACCAGCAAATAATTGCACCTGCAAGTAAATGCAGTGACAATGCATAACATTTAGGCTAGGTCTACAAAGCAGTGTTATTTCAGAATAACATCAGATATTCCAAAATAACGTAGTGCGTGTCTGTGTGACGGACCCGGCGGGGTCCGCACTAGAGGAGGGAGCGGGACTCCCCCTCCCTCGGGAGAAACCGCGCGACGCAAGCGGCGCGCCGACCGGCATCGCAGCCCCGGAGTTGGGGCAGCGGCAAGCCCAACCCGGGGCACCCCGCCGGGAGCGGGGGAGGGCGCGGACCGCGCGGAAGCAGCCAGCCCGCCCGCCCCGGCTTGCGGCTCTGAACGGGGCACGGGCCCACGCTGGGGCAAGGGCGGGGGCGGCCGCAGCGCACGGGCGCGGCGGAACGCCCAGATGTCACTCCCCGGC